AAAAAAACAAAGTACACATGGAAGCTTAACCCGCGAAGACGCGCGCTACTTTTAGCTACGCGAGAACGCGCGTCGGGATCCGTAGGCCCGAAGCGTTATTTCTTAACAAAACAAAAATAAAATTGCTTGTGTAATTGAAGAAAAAACTTTAAATAATAAAAACAGAGTGTATAAAATGTAAAAGTATGCTTTTATTTAATTAATTAAATTATAATATTGTATTTTAAACAGTTTTAAGACTGAACTTATTTATCATTAACAACAAAAAGTAAACTGATTTCTTTTTGAGCGCAAATGAAATTTAGTACTCATTTATGCAATATTAAATTTTTACAACAATAATTTCAAAATAAAACTTACATTTCATTTTTTTTAGTCCAAAGGGATTTGAATCCCGAAGGACTATTAGTTTCGTTTTGGCATTTTGCGGACTCATAAATGTCGGTTCACTTTTCAAACTGTTGCCACAAAATGTTAGAGTCCTGCATTATATTTGAAGAAATTAAATAATGAAAAATCTGCATAAATGTATGTATATTTCTCGTATTGTGATAAAACATTTAAAATCTGAAACATTTCAGATTTTGTTTTTTTTTTATTTTTTATTTTTTATTTATTTATTTATTTATTTATTTTTTTTTTTTTTTTTTGCAAATACTAATCGTGCTGTGTTTACCAAAAACATTTTTCTCGCACATAGCGCAGCAAATTTGTGACGAACTTTTCAAAGGTATATCTTATCGGAGCCATATTATTTATTTCCATTCTAGAAAGGTGATCACTTATGTTATCAAATCTCTAACATCTCATTAGAAATGAAATAAAAAAAATTAAAAAAATCAACAAAATCTGAAATGTTTCAGATTTTAAATTACGTCCAAAGGGGCGTTTTTTTAACATTTTGTGTGTTACCTTTCTTTATTAAATATCATGTTCCTCGCACTTAAACCATAAGATCCAGTGCAACAGCAATATCGCAAAATAGTTTTAAAAAAAAAAACGAGCATATCTTTAGAATTTCCGATACAGACTCACGCGCTGGAGATAAAAATGTTTTTTTTGTTTTTTCTGCACAACGTTGCCATTGCTCGCTTTGAAATTCTTGAGTTTGTTAATCAAAAATTCGTCAAAGTTTTAAAAAAAATAGGAAATCGATCATAAACAAATTTCATTTCAAATTTCAAATTTGGTCTTCCACATGCTCATATTCGTTGGAGGATTACGTTATTCAAAATTCGATGACTCTATGTACCGTTGTTTTATCACAATACGAGAAATATACATACATTTATGCAGATTTTTCATTATTTAATTTCTTCAAATATAATGCAGGACTCTAACATTTTGTGGCAACAGTTTGAAAAGTGAACCGACATTTATGAGTCCGACGCAAAAATGCCAAAACGAAACTAATAGTCCTTCGGGATTCAAATCCCTTTGGACTAAAAAAAAAAAAAAAAAAAAAAAAAAAAAAAAAAAAAAAATCTGAAATGTTTCAGATTTTAAATCACGTCCAAAGGGGCGTTTTTTTAACGTTTTGAGTGTTACCTTTATTTATTAAATATCATGTTCTTTGCACTTAAACCATAAAATTCAGTTCAAGAGCAATATCGCAAAATAATGTTAAATTAAGCATATCTTTAGAATTTCCGATATACACAGTCTCGCGAGCTGGAGATAAAAGTATTTTTTTTTTCTATATAACGTTGCCATTTCTCGCTTTTAAAGCATTGAGTTTGTAAATCAAAAATTCGTTAAAGTTTTACAAAATATAAAATCTATAATAAAACAAATTCCAAATTTGGGATTTCAGATGCCCATATTCGCAGTAGGATTTCGTCATTCAAAATTCGATGGTTCTATGTACCATTGTTTTATCACAATGCGAGAAATAGACAATCATTTATGCAGATTTTTCATTATTTAATTTCTTCAAATATAATGCAGGACTCTAACATTTTGTGGCAACAGTTTGAAAAGTGAACCGACGTTTATGAGTCCGACGCAAAATCGCAAAACGAAAACAATAGTCCTTCAGGGACAAAGCCCCTTTGGACTAAAGAAAAAAAAAAAAAAAAAAAAAAACCTTTGTTAGACATTGTCCGATGAAAAATGTCAAGCACTGCTCCGTCAGTGACCCAAAGGTAGAGAACATTTACGAGAGAAGCCTTGTGGAGTCCTCCAAAATAAAGAAGACAGATAAATGCTCTGATTACTGTAATGTGTGTGGATTGAGCATCTCTCTATCTTCCAAATCTTCCAAATTTGACGGCAATGGATTCGATATAAATGTTCGCACAATCTACTAGAATTTTTACTATTATTTTATCCATAAGCAGTTGCCAAGAATTCATAGGGAAGGTCACAAATTTTGCTTCACAAACATTTCCGAGAAATTTACTCACAATGTTGTGAGCAAGAGTTCTCACAGCAAGTCTTGGTTCTTTTTTATTCCGTTTTGTCACATTATAGTTGCCAAGATAACAATTCGCCGACGGACACAAAATTACTTAATTCATTACTAGATTCATCGCTTGAGTCTAACGCCTCTTCAGAATTCGACTGGGGATCACTAAACTGTTCTTCACCAACTATTTCTTCGTCCTCTTCATTAATTGTATCTTTATCATTCGACACTTCGGCTAATAGTTTCTGTAGTCTTTTCATTTCATCGTCATAACTCAAATAGCAAGACCTTTTTGCAACTGCCTCATCTCTTTCACAATTTTAAATGACAATGCGAGCGCGCGCCTCGGGCCTGGGAAGCCCGGTTACTCAGTTTCTGAGATAAGATGAAGGGTTAAATTCCGGAAATGCTTGTGAATGACAAGTACATGACCTTACACACAGCTACTGAGAAGGTCGGAAAATTTCACCAAAGGGAGAGATTTTCGTATTACGTTTTTGTAACGACCGGGCCTCGCAGGCCCGAAGCGCGTTCTCGCTGGTTAAATCCTTACTTTTGTTGCATCTGTTCTTTATAAATGTGAAATAGCAGAACAACAAACCGCTGTATCACTTTTAAAAATATTGAAATTATGTTATTGTTGTGATTATCTTACTTCTCTGACAGTTCAATAAGAACAAGCCTACGAAATTCATCGTGGCAAGGAGTGCAAGATTACGGCTGTTGTTGGCAACTGCTTTGAACGCCTTACAGGTGACAGTGTACGACTTTGCTCAGTTCCACCCCCAATTCCGGGGGCGACGACTCCGATGTTCTTCCAACCCTCTTCACCTACCATCAACCTCTCGAGAAGACTTTTTCAGCTCGCCGCATATTTACAGTCCCCCATGCCGCACAGACAATAATATATTTACAAACATCCATGCCTTCTCCAGGATTCGAACCTGGGCTCTTCGGTATGGCAGTCAGCGTCGCTAATCACTATCCCGGTTGCATATTTCACAAGTGCACATCTGTGTAGCCACCGAGGGTGTGGCTTCTAGGATGGACCAATGAACATTCAGTAATATTTCTGTCATGTCACATGATATGACCTTTCGCGTACTTAAGATTTAAGCAAGATGGTTGAAAATATTCTGCCACGCAATTTTCTGTAAAAAATAATTAAAGCATCGCCGATTGTTTCTGAAACTTTTCTTTGCGAAGTTAGATCAAATATAGGCAATTATGAAGATTTCACTACCTGGTTGAAATAAATACAAACACATGTTGGATAGATACTTCGCAAAAATATCGATGTGAAATATTACTTCACAAACATTTCCGAGAATGTTTAAAGTAATGAGATAAAGAAAGAAATATGTGATAAACATCTGAGAGCAAATACAATCTTTACATAAAACTATGCGTATGAGAAAAATATTGATACCAATTATATATGTAAATAGAAGTCAGCACTTTTTATTGCAGTCAATATGAAAAAGGATGTTCTATAATAATAACCAACGCAGAATTTTATTCAAAGTGAAATTTACTTTCGTATACATTTAGTGTGTTAAATTTCACATTTAATAACTGCTCACTCTTGAGTGCACTGTCTACACAAGAAATGCTCATCAAGCAGAATGAATTTATCTTATTCACAACGAGTATATTCAATTTATTCATATATAACTTTTTTAACAATGTATATAATCAGATCATATGTATTCTGAATCTTACACTTTAAAAATCACAAGAATGCAAGCACTGAAATAAGAAAACACTAGATTCATTGTAACACTTTCAGTCATTCTCATCTCAATTAAAAAAAATATACACTTGAATTCTTTTAATCCACATAATATGCCGTGAACATCAATCCAAATATTAATGCGTGATAAAAATCTTGAAAGTGAAATGTCAGCGATTAATTAAACTCAGAAAACGAAAGCACTACAAGATTTCTACTATTACGCCCATATATTTTTAACTGCGAAAAAAGTGCAAATTAAAACGTAAACAACATACGCTCACATGTATGAAGATTTAGCGTCACTAGAGCAATAGCAGCTCATTGGTCCATTTTCAAAACCCCTCCCTCAGTGTCTGTGCTGATGTGCATTTGTGAAATATGCATCCCGGTTGGGCGGCATCGAATATATTCTCGAAAGTATCATCGCCACTCATAGAATCTCGTTGTAATGTGAGAGTGGAAGAGAGCCAATAAAAGAAAACAATTGTGGGTTAAAACTTTGAGTCGTTTCTGCATGCATATGTGGCGCCTGATGTGCGCTTTATCTCGTAAGAAGCCTACATTTAAAAACAACGTAATTTATTTATCTGAACTAATTTTCCTTAGAGGTTTTTCCATGAAAGCTTCCATTCCTTTAAGCAGGTAACTCTTAAACTAAGCAATAACTACAATTATTACCCTAGTTTTAAAATGATTTTTATCTACTTAAACTTTTTCAAATAAATGTATATAAATTTAATAGTTCGGTTTATCCCTAGAAGAATAAAAGGAAAACTAAAAGTTATTGTCAAAGCTTTCTCAATGCGCAGAAAAGACAGAGAATATTCTTTTTTTTTTTCACATAAAACAATTTTATTGATCATAATATTATTTACCAGCATAATATCAAAATTCTTAACAGTTTTATACTAATTTAATTTAGAAAATTCGTTCTTGGTTTGACCGTATTATATTTTTTGAAACTTAATTTCTTCAAAAGAGAACACTGTAGAAAAACATATAAAACAACAGACTGACTATGTCTTTTGTCCAAACTTCCATTACACATTTTACTTTCTTTACACAAAACGACACTTCAAATAAATCTAGCAAAGTGGCATATTTAAAAGCACTTTAAGTGTCACGTATAATACACAAAATACCACTTGAGCATCACAAAATAGCTTGTCCACTAATCTCACTGACAACAGGTCTGTGCATTTTATGAGAGTTTATCCTTTTGGCTTTGAGATCTTTCATTTTTTGTGGCGCTTTGTAAGGAACTCTTTTCTTTTCAGATATTAGGCAATCGTACGACGAATCTAACGGTTTCACATTAGTCACGTCTTGGATAGCCCTGATCTTAACAAGACCATCCTTCAGTTTGCGAACAGCGTCATGGGAGTTCATCAGCTGAGAATCTTGCCCCGAAAGGTCCTGACTTAGATGCTTGTTGATTTTTGGAAGCTCATCTTTCTCAACGTCTGTGAATACCACGGACGATTCGCTGCTTGGCATAGTACTGCCTTCTAAAGAGTGGCCATTTTGATTACCACCAACACATCGCCTCAAGCGTTCGATCTCTTTTTGCTGAGACAAGATCTGGGCATCCTTTTCCCCCAGTAGGTCCTCTATCCTAGACTGTTCTTTGCGAAGTTCAGCTTCGAAGAGGAGAAGTTGGGATACAATGCTCTGCATTTCGGAGTCTTTCTGGATAAGGAGAACTCGCATTTGCTCCTCCTTTTCCTCCATTCGCCTCCTCCAGCTGGCTGCTTGTTGTTGCGTTTTGGTAACTTGGCTTTTCAGTTGGTTTTTGACTTGCCGAAGCTCCCGCTCCCTCATCATCAATCTTGTTGTCAAGCGAAGGATTTCAGCTTCCAACTGAAAAGAAAAGTAGAATTTGAGAATTCATTTCTTATAACATTATATTCTTAATCATTTAATCTCGGAAAAATTTTCTGAGACTAGTATTTACAAAAAAATGAAGAACTGTGAGGGCTTTGGAAAATACCTCACAATTTTTGGGACAGTGAATTCCACTGATCTGGAATATTTATCGAGGATACAATTTTATCAAAACTTAAAGAAAAAAAAGTTAGCTAATTATTACTAAGTTTAATCAAGTGTTAAAAAGTATGAAACAGAAAATAAAATCTGAAAGCTTTTAGATTTTATATTATGCCCAAACGAGAGTTTTTTTTTTTTTTTTTTAATTTACAGACACATATACGTTTCAACTGCATTTGGGCTAAAAATATTTAAAAACAGCATATCTTTAGAATTTCCGATAAACAGTTCCGCGAGCTGGAAATAAAAATATTTTATTCCCTACAGTGTTGCCACTGCTTGCTTTGAAATTGTTGGTTTTTTTAATCAAAAATCAGTTTAAATTTTATATACTATGAAGCAGACAATGAAACAAATTCCAAATTCGGGCTTCCAGGTGCCCATGTTCGGGTGGAGGACTATGTTATTCAAAGTTTGATCACTCTAGCTACCACTGTTTTTCACAATGCAAGAAATATATGTACGTTCATTAATTGCAGATTCTTCATTAATTGGTTTCTTTAAATATAATGCAGGGCGATAATATTTGGTAGCAACAATCTGAAATGCGATACATCGCATTTAAGTGATTCAACGTAAAATACCATTTCGAAACTAATAGCTCTTCTGAGCTAACTCTTGAATCATCAGGCGTATCAGAAGTCTTTGACCTGGCGGCCTTTACTTCCATATTTCACTTCAGGTTCAACAATCTAAAATAAAACATGGTAATTTCCATTTAAAAAAAAAAAAAAAAAAAAAAAAAAAAAAACGGATAAACTTCTATCATAAGCAAAATTAAGCAGAGTAAGCAATGGCACGGAGAAGAGCGGTTACGTGAAAGGGCTAACTCGAAGAAGTTTTCCTCGGCTCAGGCAAACTCGAAGAGGTTCGCAAAAACGGGCACCCGCGTGAAGTCGCTATCCCGGCGTAATGCTTCCGACTTTCGAATCTTTGTAGTTTCGAGCAGTTTATAATACATGTCGATGCAAATGAAAGTTCAGAGCAGTAGTAAAAATCTGCGAGAGTACGTAAATGAGTCCAACAGAAACAGCCCTGCGGTGCAGGCCATGACGAAGGTAAGTGCGCATGATAAGCAATTGGCATAAAAAGAAGAAAAACAAAGTGCCTAAAGCTCACTGATGAGAGTCCGTGTGTGAAGTTAACATAATAGTAGTAAGTAACATTGAATATAAAGCATAGTGAAAAATAAAATATATACAGGTCAAACATTTACAACAAAAACAGCAACACCAGAAAACAATCATTATGAGACAGTGTATAGATATATTTAAGTTGTGACAATTAGGTGTACGCGTGAATTAAAAAGACAGTTACTGATCGAGGTACCTGAAGACCGCAAGCGGTCGTTTTCTATTTCTTTCAGTGTTATAGTCGTAATTAAGCACTGGAATAGTGCTGTTGTTGACATTTGAAATATTTTTATAGAATTTTTCAGCAAGGTTAGCAAAATGAATATATAACATTGGCATCTCAAGCTCTTGGTGAACTGCCGAGTTTCTGATGAACCATCGACAGTTCGCCGCTTGTCTAAGTAATATATTTTGCAGTGTTTGAAGTTTCTTAACATTAGTAATACTAGCGTATCCCCAAACAGGACAGGCATATGAGATTATAGGACGCAAAAGGGTCTTTCTTGTAAATGAGCAATTTGGTGTCAATAGAGAGAACTGAGTTCCCGACCTGTGAATAAACATAAAAAATGAAGTGATGGTTAAAATATTCCGGTGTTCTCTGCATACTATGTAAATTAATGTCATTTTCAGATATTTACTTTTAAGGTAACTTATGGAATGTTAACAAAACTTTTTTCCCCATTTGAGCTTGCACGTTCTTTTACAAGTTATTTTTTTATTTAAGATATTACGCTTACTCAGATTTAGTTGAGATGCCTATAAATAAATGGCAGCAGGAATACTCTAAAATTTTTCTAAAAGTTCAGAATATTTTTTATAGATGGCAGTAATAATTTACTAAGCGTAGTTTTTATGGAAAAGAAAACTCTGCGAAAATGAAATAAGTTTAATATTTCGGCTCTTCAGACTACACAATGCAAATTATTATTGAAATAGTCCAGGGAATAATTTCGAATTCATCCCCCTCTTTCCTGAACATCCATGTCACTTTTTTAAAGTTCCATTTTAAATTAAAACAGGATGTATGTTTAACATGGAAGTAGAATAGGTATGCTAACTCTATGGATTTTATTCAGATTTAGTTTAGAAATCTGCTCATAGATGGCAGCAGTAATGCAAGAATATTAATTTGAACAATGTCTTCGTACATCACACAATACCAGATTCCTGTATTCATTTGGTTGATAAGATAATTTATGTTTTACAGTTTCTAGTTTTCGTAATATTTTTTAATTCGTAAAATTTTTTTTGGTGGCCTCTTCTTCGAGATGTCAGACTACAAAATAAAGTTTTCAATCTGCAATGCATTTTTTACTTAATTATTGTGCATACTTATGTGTTTAAACTCCAGAACAATGAATTCCCTGTTGCTCTTTGTTATTTCTTCCCCATAACATCAACTCAGTATCCAAAAAGTGAAAAAAGGAGTGAAAACATGAAGCTTTTTCTAATTTTTCAATAAATTAAAAAAAAAAAAAAATATTTCCTTTATTATATTTAAACGAAAATTCTGAAATTTAATTCATTCACAAATACACTTGAATATATCATTACCGCCGTCGAACACTGACAGTGCAAATTCCTTTCGATTTTGTTTAAAAATGAAGCATGTCGAATGCGGGGATGGTAATTTTTGAAGCATTATTCTCAGATGACGCTGATGGAAACTGCTAAATTTCCATAAATTGAAAGGAATACCCTTTCTTGTGTTTTTATTTGATATAGAAAAGCTCCGGCTTTATTTATGTCTCTCCTAAATGTAGCTTTTAGATGCATCACTGAGTCAATCGTTTAGGGAAAAATATCAAAGGATATATACTGCATTACTGCTGCCATTTATGAAAGACATCCGAATTAAATAATTTCTGCGTATGAAGTACATGAAAGCTATGTGCCTAAGGCGAGGAATGCCTCCGTGGAGGATTTTCTAAGGAAAATGGGTTTATGTTACATATGGGGAAACTATAGATGCAGCCAGGCTCGAACCGACGTCAAACTACCAGTATTCAGAAATCTTAACCCTTCGACCGATAGTGGGGCTTGAAATGTTAAGAGGGGGGGAAGAGAACCATGGATTTTCAAACGAAAGAAAATTCTTCTCAATCTTGGTTAAGGAATAAAATTTTATGTGTTTAGTCATTAAATAATGTTCAATTACCACTATCTATCAGACACTAAATTTTAAATTTTCTCCTTAAATGACAGGAGAATGATTAAAATGATCTGATGTAATGTATTACGCGAAATAAAATTCCGGAAATATTTGCTTGATTCGAAGAAGCAGATCCTCGCAACGTATTATTTAGAGCAGTGCTTTTCAGTTGTTGTGTCAATTTCCGAATAGCGGATAAACTAAAATCCCTTTCACTAAAATTACAATGGCTCGACGCAAAAATCTGTTGTATATTTTATCAAGAATCTCAGTTTGTGAGTAACTACACTCCAACAAAATTAAAACAGTTAAATGATCTTTTGCATGATGAACAGAAATATTCTAAGAAGCGGTTATTGTCAGGTGACGCGAAATTTAGATGAATACGCTGCACAATGTGGGCAGGGTCAGTAAATTTGAGTATATCTACTTCAAGCCACGGAGTTTGACGCAGTTTGAATGACCTCATTCTGATCTTGCTTCTTCACGTTGGCTTCAAGTGTGATATGTTTTAATACCGTGTTTTTCTATATTGCTCATACAACTAAAGATTGCAGATGAAAATCATGTTTTTGCAGAAGAACAAATGTGGACAGCTGCAATTCCGAACCTGAGATTTACCAAACACAAATATGAAATACTGGATATGTAGAAACAGTACGCGTAAATGACGTCGCTGAATTACGCAGGTATGAAGATTTGTGTTAAAATAAACTTTTGTTTTCATGAAAACTATATATAGATACTGAATGAAAAAAAAAATCGTTAGCTTATCTAGATGTTCCAGCTGTTCCTGCTAAATTATAAGGAGTCAAACAGTACAAACGGAGATTTTTCGCCTTCAAAGTGTTAGAATTCTAACAAATAATAAGTGGCTAGTATTTGAAATGCAAGTTAAATTAAAAAAAGACATTCGAAATTCGGATTTTTTAACATTTCGAATAAAAAAAAATCACGTCTGCAATATACATATATGCAATGGGCATTCGACATAATGTCGAAGTACGTTGCTCAAGTACGTTACGTGTTCAATAATCATTCAAAATGCAATTTTATGTGGACTTCTTCACAATATTTTGCGACAAGCATTATTTTAAATAATGAGTGCTACAAATGACACAGATTTTAGCACTCCATAAAAGGTCATGGCAAAATTATTTGCCATACTTTTTATGCCTGCACACATGTGTACCCTAAATAAAATTTTATGGCAATGATGAAGTTTTTTTCTAAAATATAGAAAATGTATCATTTTTAAAACGTTTTTTTAGTTAATATTTCGATATTTTTCTCTTTGTATAGCAGCCTGAAATTTCTAAATTGCAATTTAATACCTCGAAGAAGAATTTACCATTAAAACCGTTCTTAAACCATTTTTAAAACAAAACGTTTTAAAAAATGAAAAACCATTCAAATATTCTGGTATTCTTAAATAAACATATAATATGAAAACTATTGCCAATTTAGGAAACTCGGTGTTTCCTGTTGAATAAAATTCAAACTCAACTCAAAAAGAAATTTCAAAT